TATAACAATAATAATATTAATAATAATGATAATAATCATTATTTAATCGAATGTATGTAATACATATATATATATATATACAAATTGAATATTAAAATATTAAATTCAGTGAGCACTAAATTTTTGACGAGTCAATGAGTCGTTTTTAATTAGCAATACGAGGGTAATCAACAGGCAACGCTAATGGCAAATATTACTCGTTAAAGCTCATTATTTTTTTTCTCCTTTCTTCCTCTACTTTTTTTTTCTTCTTTTTTTAATTCTATATTTAGCTTGTTTTTTTATGCTCGATTTACGTTTACGTATTTAATATTTATATATTTGCTATACTTTATCATTCTACTTTTTCTATAGTATTTGTATTAAATTATGCATGTTCCAATTCTTATACAAAAAATTGCCCCACACGATCTGTTAATTAAATTTATTCTTAATTCATTTATCTTACATTTGTTTTTTTACTTAATTTTGTTTCACATTCTATGTGTACGTTCGAATTACGTAAAAAATTCGCTCGGTTACACACACACACAAACACACACTTTTGCGTGGATTCTTCGTATTCTTCATTAAGACTCTATTTTTGATATTTAGAATTATATTTAAAAATTTTGATAATTCATTTTTCTTATTTTTTTTTCTTTCATTTCATCTAATTAAGAATGACGCGAAAAAATGGGTTTTTTTTTTGGTTTAATTAATCGTATTTTTGTATTAACATTTTCTCTGATTTTTTAGATTGTATAATTTATTATTATATTAATATAATAATTTATTATATATAATAATAAATTATACGTTTCATATCAATAACGTGAAAAAATAACTTTGAAAATTATTATATTATTTAATCGTAGGAGTTATTTCTTTCTTCGTAACTAACACATCACCGACGATGGTGCATCATTCTCATTCCCGAGCAATTTTACGGAAACGAACTAGCTCAATTTTATGATCCGTGCTCGGATCGTTCAACGATAAAGAACGAACGTACGCTTGTGGAAATGAAAAACACGCGATCTATCTATCATATACGTATGATCTACATATTACAGATCATGTCAATATAAATATTATATCCATTATTATACTAAACGTATATATATATTTATATATCACGAGATTATATCATTTTGTTTTTTTATATTACAAAAGAAATTTTATCATAATTTGAAAAGAGAAAGGATAAGAAAAAGAAAAAAAAAAAAATGAAGAAGATATTCATTAAGAAAAAAAAATTATGTAATAATACTTGATCCGAGCAAATTGTTCGGTCAAAGTTAATTAGATAAATGAGAGAAATTATAATCGAGAAAAAATCGAACCGGTCGTGGTTTAATAATTGCTCGATTACACTTCAAGTGGTATTTTAAACGATGTTAATTAGGAAGACGATTAAACAATACATAAGCACACATACACACACATATACATATATGTATATATATATATATATATGTTCTGGTAATTATGACAGCGTATTAAGTGAAATAATTTTGAAACATTAATATTTCTTTCTGATTTTGATCTTATAATTCAAATAACATTAACGTAAAATAAATTAGGGCAATCACGGATCGAAAAAATTGATTTTTTAATTTAATATCTTATCATTTATTCATCTCGCACATATCGATACAACAAAATCATTCTAATGGAAAATAAAATTAAGGCAATCGTAGATCGAAAGTTAAAAAAAGAAATAATTGTTCAAATCTATTTTATATAATTTATTTGACAAATGGAAGAAAAAAGAAATAGCATTTAATAATAGAAAATAAACGAATAATGAGATCAAAACAATCCAAGATGATTAAGTTTTGTTTATTATTATTTAAGCGATACAATATTTTCACCTAATTTTTAATCCGTCGTATCAATCGTCGAAATTTCCTTTTTTTTTTTTTTTTAAATCAATAATAGGTGTTAATAATTATAGATAAAATAAATCGTAAAATATGTATATTTTCGATTAGTTTTTTTCTCATAATTACCGATGCACCATATATATATGTTATTTATTGTTAGATAGAATCGATTATTACAAGCAACACACTTGTTGTTGACAGCTGCAATTGAATGCTTATTAACCATCTTCTCGATTATTTTTCAACGATTAACGTAGGAACAAATAAAAAAAAAAAAAAAAAAAAAAAAAAAAAAGGAGAAAGAGAAAAAAGAAATATTACGAAGAATACTATTGTTCCGAGTAAGATCGATTGATCATCGTGTTGGTCTCTTTTTCAATAGAGAAACGAAAGTAATTATCGCGATATTTGAGAATGAAGAAGGTGTTTCATCGTATAATGCGTACAATCGAACTATTTACTACGTGTTAATTAGCAAAGACATAAACAAGATTATAACTCTTACCGCGCATTAGAAAAGGAAAAGTACAGCTATATATATATAAACATTATTATTACTTTTTATTTTAATTATTAATTATTTGTAATATGATCGATTATTATATTTAATATTAATTCATTGATCTAATGCAAGTTGCATTCGAAACATTTCAAACATTGCTCTTCAATAATACAATTAATATTTAATTGTATTAATGAAAAAAGAGAAATATTATAAATATGTAGAATAAAAATTGTAAAATTTTAATAATAAATGCGAAAGTATAATATACGAGAGTTAAATAATAAAATATAAATTTCATATATAATCAATTTTAAATTATTAATCAACTCTTAAGGGGGGTTTTTATAAAATTAACAAATATATATATTTTTTTTGTTTGTTTTCTTTTTTCTTTTTCTTACATTAAATACATTAAAACATATGTCATTGGATATGTTATATAATTAAAAAATAAATATAATAATAAAAAATGTATGGATATAGAGATATTGATCTCTTGATTTATACTGACCTACTATCAAAGATATTGAAGTGATACGATTGACCATCTTGGAAGGTATCCTAACAGATAATTCGATTGTTCAGGAGCACTCACTGCACGTTGCCGGTCCTAAATGACGACTGTCGAAGAAACGTGGACGGGTTCGCCGGTTTTCTTTGCTTGGAGTTGGTGTTGTACACCAATGACGACGGGAGAATATTGACGTGATCCAACGTATCATATATTATGTCACGGGCAGGTAGATAGTATGTGATACACTAACACCATTATCAGCTTTTGCGACTTATCAATTTAAAAAAACAAAAATGTTAATTATTGTCCGTTTTTCTTTTTTTATACTCGATTAATTCGTTCCCTCTCTTTTTTCGTATGTAAGATTTTTTACGTTCTTTTTTTCCTTTCTTTCTTTTCTTTTTTTTTACATTTATTATTACTCTTTAATTGCTATGAGGGTATATTATCGTAGAAGATTTATTTCATAGTTTTTTCTTTTTTTTGTTTCGTTTGAATTATAATTCAACATTTATGGACGGGGAACAAAACTTAAATTTCCTTTCGTTTAATTGTTTTTTTTTTGTTTTGTTTTTAATGAGATCTCATTGTCTTAGGAACAGTTAAATGTTTTACCCGTTCGCGCCATAAATTTGAAAACGCGAGATCGATATGATAGTTGAGAAATATTACATTTTCATTTAGTCAATTAATTTTTATTTAACGAAATTTCATGGCTCATAAATATAGGCATATATTATTTTTCAATGATACAAATAAAATACTTGCTTTTATTTATACTTATCTTTTCAGATTTTATTATATAATATTGTATTTAGATTTTTATCATTAAGATATCGTCAAGCAAGAAGCATGAAAATTAGTAACTTAATCAAGAAAAATATATTCTTGTCAGAACGTTTTCGCGTTATTAATTTAGGATACTTTTCAATGCAAATCTAGACAATAATCCTTCGAGTAAATAGATCATTTCGTAGTGTTTGTTTAAGGGCGCGGTTCTTTACAATTAGGCTCATTGACCTGACAGAATTAGGACTGGATCGATGAATTTCATCTTCGCATTTTAATTGCTCGTCGCACCTTTTAATGAATCGTAATTGATTGACTTATTGAAAGAGAATGTTAAAATATACATTAACTATTGTATATACAGGTGCAGACAAAAATTCAACAACAATATCAATTCTTGTGTTTTTCATATAATTTAATTGATTTCATCTTAATGTATAAGAAAAAAGCAACTAATTATAGGCGCTGATAATAAATGTCACGCTCTAAAAGGCTTCATCAAAACATATTTTTTTCAAAAAAGTATGTTACATATAATGTGCAATAAGCGCAAACATTTTTAATTTGTAAATTTATTTTTCTGCGGAGTAGAGGTAAAGGTAAAAAAAAAAGGTCGGTCGGTAAAAAAGAAAATTTTATTATCGATATAAAAAAAAATTAAAGAATGCGATTTTATCGACTGCCAGTTATATCTGTCCGGTATTATTATTTCTTACTTACCATTAGAAATTTTATATGAATAGATAACAAATTTAACAGATAGATGGCGGTTTTCAATAAATTTCCTTTTTATTATTTCACACGTTGCGTGGTTTAACCTAAACAGGAATAAACTTTTTTCAATGCTAAAGTATTCTTCAAAATTTATTAAAAATTATACGCTTAACGAACTCTTATTTATTAAGTATAATTTATATAATTTAAAAAGTGTTAATAAATTTGTCGCGGTTACATGATAACTTATAATGTCACTTTGAAAATATAACCCTTGTAATTGGTTTATATACATTATTATATAAATTAATATTAGAAAGATTACTAAAATGTTGTCATTGAATTTAACTTCATTTAATGCATCAATTAGAACGTTTCCGTATTGGCGATTAAGTTCGTTATTGAGTACAAGTATAATTAATCCTGAACACAATAACTTAAGTAAGGTAAATCTTGTAATACTGTTGTTCTTTATAATACTATGTATAAATAGTGAAGACTTATTCAACTATTTAACATTACATATATATATATGTAGGTATGTATGTATGTATGTAAGAATATTTTTTTGTAGCAAGAAGAAAGTGTTATTCAAAACGATGACAAATATCCGAAGAAAGAAAAAGTATTACAAAGAAACACAATTCAACAAACAGAAGTATCACGGATATCGCAATCTTCAAACAAATTACAAAATAGAACTAATTCTTTTATATCTTTAGATGAAAAAATAATTAAAACTACAAATACTAAAGATTTGATCGGTATTATGAACGATCCAAATATAACAATCGATCAAGTTAAACAAATTATCAGTCAAATTTCTAATTTAAAACCTGACGTAGAAAAAGAAAAATCAACTTCTGCATCTGTAGATACTAAAAAAGATTTTGTAAAAATGGATACCATTAGTAACATTGGATTTTTACCATTGTCAACACCCAAAATAATTCAGGTTTGTCCGATATGATTTATAAAATGTAATCTTTAGTTTTTTTTCTTATTATCATATACTTGGGTTGGTTTTTTGTAGATACTCAAAACGTTATCGTACACAAATGACAGAAATGTACCTCTGTTAAAAACATTGACCTATAATATCGCTATGTACAGCAAGAAATTAAATACAAGAATGTGCGGAGATATTTTGTACAGTTTGGCTGTTTTAAATTATCCAGAAGAGGTAATAGAATAGATCGCATTTAATTATCAATTATGAGATATATATGCTGTGTTTGAAAATACATCAATTATTTATTTACAGGTGTTATTGGAGAAAATAATGTCTATTTTACGCGAAGAATTACTCGCGAATGAAAACGGACCCGTTATGGGTTCAATAGCAATGTCCTTAAAATTACTTAAGTATAAAAATTATAACGTATTAGATACCATTGTCTTATGGGCCAATAATAATCTAGAAAAGTTAAGGTTTCAAGATTTGACCTCGATTATGGGATGTTTAGCTATGTTTGGTTATATTCCTAAACATATGGATAATCTTCAGGTATCATCATTTATTCAATATCATATTTGATATTTATAAATTAATTATGTTCATATGGCATATTATTTTTTTTATAAACAGGATTATATAAATTCATTAACCCCTGAAATTACATCAAACAATCAGTTGTGGCTAGATTTTGTATGGTCTTTGACACTTTTGAACAGAGCGTCTAAGGAACAAATTTCATCTGTATTATATCATAAATTCATTGAAAGAATTATAAGTAAGTATTTAATCGTTTGAATCCCAGATAACTTATCAATTTCATATTGCATTTCTATAATGTGCCACTTTTCGACAAAAAAATCTAAACAGCACAACCTTGCTGCTTGAGATTCAGATGGTTAAAAAAACTTCAAATAACTGTGAAGTTAATACAAAAAAAGTATGTAATTTATCGATTGTCGTTATTTTTTAGATACACGTAATATTAAGAGTAAAATAAATGCGCTCAAGATATTGAACATCAATGCAGCTGTGCGTACTATTGTGAAGGATTATGATGGTAGATTAATTTGTTAAATACTGATTTATAAATTTATTATTATTACTAGTTATATATATCATTGAAAAATTATATTTCATTTTTAGGTCCATATAATAAAAACAGGGATTTATTTTCAATAGTCGTTGAATACAAAAAACAAAAATTAGAACTCATTGAAGCTTTGAGTGAGACATTACATCAAATACATCCTCTTTGTTTCAAAACAAATATTAATACACACATGGGTTTTAACATAGGTAAATATTTTGTATAAATTTAGATATATGATTAGTTACATTATATCAATAATAAAAGATTTTGGTATATATGTTACCATATTATAATAATATACCATAATCAACATATATGTTGATTTGGTATATATGTTCAAGTGGGAAATCCGAGATTCACCGAAATGCCTAGGCATTGTTGACAACGCCAAAAAACCCGGTAATGTAGGAAATGTATTCATATTTCTTACATTTCCTAAATATTCTGTAGAATAACAAGTGAGAAACCGATAAAGTAAGAAAGCAAATATAAAACATTTCGTTTTAAACCTGCTTATGTTCCGATAAGGAACAAAAAATACAGATTTTCCATGGTGATCTCTATGAATATCCACTACGATAAGTAATAGTGGGCCCTATATAATAACACACTGGCATAGAGTAAGTTTCAATTTATAGAAGTGCGCATAGTACAGCGGTATACACAGTCTCAAAAATCTGTGCACAAAAACTCGTGTAGCAGTCAAGGTGTTAATTGTGGGCAATGCCTACGCATTTCGGTGAATCTCGGCATCTCCCACTTGGACGATAATATATACATAAATGAAAACTAAAAGTATTATATATTATATTTTATTAATTTCTTAGATGTAGAAAGCTGCGTGGATTCAGATAATAGATTAGTAAAATATGTCGATAGCAGTCCAAAGAATATGAGGTGTGTGTGATTGTTTTAAATGATAATTGTAATAATTAATATTTATGTTTATACACACAAGAATTGATTTTTAACAAGAATAATATTGCAGGTTAGTGTTAATGGTACATGACTATCATGATTATTCTCGAGGAAAGGAAGAAATATTAGGAATGCCTAAATACTATAATGATCTATTAATCGCTCAAGGTTATAGGGTATTAAATGTTTCTTACCAAAACTTCAGTGCAAATGATATACTTGCTAAACGTGTAAAATATTTACAAGATAAGATTAGTTCGATATAAACGTTTTCGATGTAATTGAATTAAGTGTAACTAAAAAGATTAATGAAAATAAATTAAATTGCTTATTTATTGTGTTACGTTCAATGGTTCTTTATCATTTTTATTATTATATTGTATAATATGTAAATGAAAAAGAGAAGAAAAAAAAACAAATATGTTTATTAAATATCTTGCACAAAAATGTAAATCTATAATATATATATTATATAACATTTATTGCGATAGGACGATAACAAATATTTTTCTAAAATTTATATAATACGACTAATAAAGTGAACACAATATTTATTCAGTTTTAGTCAACTGTTCTGTCTTTTCCTTAGTAAATTTAGAAACAGTTTCATAAGCATTTGCAATATGCGAAGGACTTTCCGCAACAAATTTAATACTCGTTATAACTCCTGTATTCCATTTCGTTGTTAGCCAATGTTTAAAATCTGTGATATTGGGTATCGATGGAATCTGAGAAGATATTGTAATCATTAAACGTTCTTTCAAATCCAAACCGATTTAAATTTTTCAACTCACCCCTTTGGTAATTTCTGTAGGTACACTACCCTTTAAATATGGATCTACATTTTTATGTATTTTATCATAAACCTTAAGACTTTCATCATGTTTTGACCAAAGACCTTCTTGTACAGAATAATAAATAATACCACCAACTAGACTAGCTTTAATGGTTAACCTATGAAATATATAACCTCAATCAGTATTTCAATAAATTTAATTTAAATAATGGTAGCATGCAAATACCATGATAATAATATTTCTTGAATCTTCCTTTTTTGTACTAACCGCACTAAACCCATAATATATGTTATAAATTACTTTTTGTTTCTTTTAATATCTATGGGTTTATACGAAAGAAGGCACCTTCTACCTATCAGAAATAAGAAATTACGTAAAGTATAATAAATGTGAAATTTCGATTGATACAAGTAAAATAAGACTAGAAAATATATATTTTAATAAATTTGATATTATATTATGAAAGTTTTTAATGAAATTTAATGTATTTATACTCACACGTGAAGTATCACATTTGTATTACGATAAATGATTAATACGTCATTGACTCACGTAGTACTAGAATACGATGAATGAATATATGTGGTAAAATATGGCGGGTAAATGTTTTTACCAAATTTGATTGTATATTTATAATCTAATCAAAATTCATTATCTCTGTTATTTACAATTCTTTTTTTTTTTTTAAATCCGTTTATTATTAATGGTATATATTTTTTTATTTATAAGAGAATATAATTATGTTGTATGTTACATGTTACATGTTGCATGTTGCACGTTGCATGCTGGGGTGCTTATGCTTTATTTATTGCACTTATCTTGCTATACTTTTGCTTTTCGTTTAGCACCCTTATCTTAATAGTACTATTAACGTTTAAGTTTTGGTTCTAAGCTTATGGTGGTATATAATAGCGAAGTTATCTTAAAAAGCATGAATATATTGGGCTAATTCATGAATAAATAAAAAACCGTATTCATTTATGAATAAACAGAACAATATGTTTCCTTTTAAAAAAAAAATTCACAAAATTTATATTATTATTTATATCTTCATCTATAAAATAAGATTTTCTTTAAATTAACCTTAAGAGTTATCTTTTTAGACTCCTAGATGGCAGTTTCGATAATCGATCGGTCAAAGATATCGAGTTGTTACACATTTAAATTATTCAATAATATTCATTTTTTAGAAATAACCCAAATTTGAATATCTTATAACACTCCATTATGCGTTATATTATTTTTACATGGATATAAAAAAAAAAAAGAAATAATAATAATAAATTCCAATAAATAAATAATGATTTATAAAAATACTGAGAAATATTTAGGACAACTCTCGCATGTATGGGGTGAGTAGCGTAATCGATCAAGCGCACCTTGGTAACGCTGAATCCTTCTACGATTATCTATTATCTTTTTTCTTTTTTTTTATTTAACGAACACGCAAAAGGAATTTCAATAGAAGATCAGTAACGTGCATAGGTGCTGCCAAGGTGCTGCTTTCCTTTGTGATAAAAAAAATAGAAAAAGCATCCTCCTCCTTCTCTTCTGAAGTGTGTCGGGTTAGTCATCCGATTAATTTCAGTTCCAAGACTTGTAATTATGTTTTATAATTAAATACGCGTACCTAACTTTCCCTTTCGTTTGTAATCACCCTCTTATCCTCTCTCTCTCTCTTTCAATCTTGCTTTCTTCGTCTTATAAAGCTTGTCCTGCACGTAATTGGAATGTCCACATGAGGCTGTTAAGATTTTTGCTCCGTTACTTTCCACCAGGTAAGTAAAGTTGAGGATGTTTTAAGTATAAAAGGTAAATTGCTTCGTCTAACGTTTAATCGTTAATTCTATGAAATTTAACATCTTTTCAACTTTAAATCATTTTACAGGTCTCGCCTTGGAATACAGACAAGGTGGCGACGTCAAAACTAAGATGATCGACTTGTTGGATCTGTCCCTTGAGTAATTGAATTTTTCACTTTATTGCCATTCCCCTATAGAAGAACGTTCCTCATAGTAATCTATAAAAACTATCGAGTCTTTTAATATACCTTTCTTTATTTTATATATATATATATATTTTTTTATATCGAGGTTTGAAACGTTCTATCATTATAATTATAATTGAAATGAACAAATTCAAGATGAACAAGTGAATGTTGTTGCTTTTTTTTCTTTCTTTTTTTTTTTTTTAGTATAGAAAGATAAAAAAAACAGTTTCAAGATTATTTCCAAATGGTAAGTTTTGTTAAATGTTAAATCGCAAGGTTTATTCTTTCAGAACTGACATAAAAGCACTGGCAGAGAGCATAAAAGCAAGTGAGCCAGTAATAACCGAAAGTGTAATGGACCAGTTAGTGGAAACATTGGAGAAATTACAGGCCAAAGTGTGCAACGCAGACGTGAAGCGTTATTATAAACATAAGACCCTTAGAACACATCTTCTTCCTTTAACTAACATAGCGTTCGATAAATTAGGTAAAAGGTACTATCGATTAAGGTCGGTCGATATAAAATTCGGGTAATATATTATCCGTTGTATCTCATTAAACAATACATTCATTAATTTATCTAATATAAATCTTGTGTGTGTGTGTGTGTAAAAATATATATATAAATATTAATATAAAAGTAGATAAAGATAAATGTTGTTGTTTAATATAGATGCTTGACAGGAAGCTACGACAGAACTTGTAAAGTTTGGGACATTGACACTGGAGAGGAGTTACTTACTCTCGAAGGCCATAAAAACGTTGTCTATGCCGTTTCCTTTAACAACCCGATATCGTAAGTTTGATCTAATAACAATTTTACAAAATAATAAACGTCATTTATTAAAATCATCATTTATCATATTTATCTAGAGACAAAATCGTAACCGGATCTTTCGATAAAACAGCAAACGTTTGGTGTTCACGTACTGGTCATTGTTTGCTTACACTGTGGGGTCACGTAGGTGAGGTTGTGGTAGCTAAATTTTCACCCGTACAAAATAAATTGGCTACTGGTTCTCTCGATTCTACTTCAAGGATATTTAATCTTACGACAGGTAAAAAAAAAATACATTTTCTGGGACAACAAATGAATCTCGAGTATCCGTGTGAGAGAGAACACGTTGAAAGAATAAACATAGATTAGATGTTAAATGTTAAGTTTGAATAGAAGTTTTTTCGTTTTTATCGAAAGAACGAGAATAAAGATGGGATCTGAATGGAGGCCAATTCGACAGGTCAAGAATTGGGTTTGCTGAAGGGTCACACGGCGGAAATAATTGCGCTTCATTACAACGAGGACGGAAATCAGATGATAACGGGTTCCTTCGATGGCACCGTAAGCATCTGGGATACAAGGACTTTTACGTTAGTTACAATTTTATTTCCCTTTTTCTTTTCTTTTTTTTTTTTTTTTTTACTGTAATTTTCGAAAAAAGAAGAGAAATATCTTTTATCCGTGAATTTTTTCTTTTATTATCTAGACGAGTTTGCGTATTGATCGGGCACCGTTCGGAACTATCCAATTGTCTATACAATTTCGATTGCACTCTGATAGCATCCTCTTCGATGGATAAAACCGCTAAAATTTGGGACACCAGGAAAAATACTTGTCTGGCTACGTTATTGGGCCACGACGATGAAGTTCTCGACTTGACCTTTGATAACAAAGGCAAGAAATTGGCCACAGCTAGCAGTGATACTACAGCAAGAGTTTGGGACACCAATACGGATTTTAAACAACTTTCGATCATGCAAGGTCATCGAGAGGAAGTTTCGAAAGGTAATATTATAAGTATATCTTATTTTTTTTTTTATTAATCCCTTACCTTTTAAAATCACCAAGAATTTTTCTTTGAAAATCAAAGTTCACTTTTCGTATATTCGCATCGTCCCAGTTTGTTTCAGTCCAAGCGGTCACCACCTTTTGACCTCTTCTTTGGACAAAACTGCTCGTTTATGGTCTATAGAATCCGGATATTGCGTGCAGAAACTCGAGGATCACGTCGACGATGTATTTAGTTGTGCATTTTCATATACAGGTGATACAATCGTAACTGCTAGCAAAGATAATACTTGTACTATTTGGAGATGACTCGATTGGTTCAAAGTTTGTCCATAGCTTTTACTCGTTATTCTTTTTATCATTTATATCATTTATTTTTATATCATTTAAATCGTATATAAATACGTAATTTATATACGTTTTGTTTTTTTTTTTTTTTAAATAATTATTATTTCACGGTATACATGGTATAGAACAAAATTTTACTAATATAATTTGTAATCTTGTTCAAATTAATTATAAGAAGATTATAATTTTAATCTCGAAAAGTAGTTGCATTTCCGGTGAAAGTTATACAAGTCTATCATACAAAGATTCGCTTGAAAACACAAGGAAAGTAACGTGTGTTTAATATAGCATATATCATGTGTTTTAGGTAATTTATTGTGTCCACTCTAATATTAACATAAATATTATATATTAGACAAATGGAATGTTTAAAAAAAAAAAAAAAGAAAAGAAAGTAGGATATAAATATTCTTAATTGTAATACTTAGACATATATATATATATATATATATAAAAAGTATATGCCAATTATTGTGCACGCGATTCTATTATATTTATCGTAAAATCGTAATGTTCGTTCGATACAATTTTATCTAAAAAAAAAGCAAAATTTAGCGACATAATAAAGAAGAAAATTATGGTTGTGTTGAAAAAAGAAGAAAAAACGAATGCATGCGTGTTCTTGGCCCCTTCTCTCTAACTAAACGTAAAGTCGTCTGTGTGACTCTTAGGGATCTTATAAACATTGAACGTCTTGGTGAATAAGAGTCAGTCCTCTTATGTTCGAACTCACGAGACATCGTCGTAACGTGTGTGTGTCGTTTATATATTATAGTCATTTTAAGAAAGGTGTTACCACAACTGGATAACCGGTTTTTACGAAACGTGGCACGGATAATATTATCTATGTATATAAAATAAAATAACCGTAGTGTGGAACGAATATTATTATTATTATTATTATTATTATTATTATTATTTGTTATTTTTCAAGAGAGAGATTTATTTTTTCTTGTTTTTTGACTAACCGAAAATAACATTTGAAAATAATAAAAATGAAGTTGCAATATTTTTTTTTTTCTAACAAAGATACTCACCAGAAAATTTGCCAATATTCGTTCATTGATAATACACAGTGTGTCTCGTAATTAAAATTAATTAGAAGAAGAAAAGAAAAATTGTCATAGATATATATATATATATCGTTCGTCTTTTTCAACGACGATAATAACGCACGTACGAACAAACAAAAAAAGACAAACCATTTCTCTTTGACAAAGGTTAAAAAAAGCGTGCTCGTTATCATTTACCTAGAAATAAAAAAGAAGAAAAGGTAGATACAAATTCCTTGTATACGAATATATGACGAGAAAAATGCGTCGGAATTGTGTATACGTATCGTTCCAAAGCAAACGATTCTGTTGCTTTTCGTAAGAAAAGAAGAAAAAAAAAATAAATAAAAACCCAACAATAAAAAAAAAGTCACATTTTCGTTT